TAGTATAGAACTATTATTTTAATAACTTCTGTGCTGAATCTGAAAGTAATAACTATTATTATTTCTGCTAAATAGTGATCTGTCTTATTTATATATTGTTATATCTTAGTGAATGACTAATTTTCAAGCATTTTCTAAGATTTCTGATATCTAATAACTTATCTTCATCTTTGTAATTGGCTTTAGATCTTTTATAAAATATATGATCTGATTTAAAGTGCTCATATCTGTAATTTATCTAATTATATTTCTGAATTTTGTGTCATAAACTTAAACAGATCCAGTTTGGTAAAGAAGATATAGTTATTTGCAAAGATGTTATTAATAATGTGATAATTGAAAGACTTTTCTTAATACTATAACAAAAGCTTATTAATTTTCAAAAGATAAGATATTATTATCTATCTTTACTTTATTAAGATATCAATATAAAGCTATATCAGTCAAGAAGATAATGATATACTGTATTTGAGTTTTCTCATCTATAATTTCTTGAGCCTGAAATATTATTTTAACTTGCATTATTCAGATAAGTATATTTTTATTTGATTTTCTAAAGTAAGAAGATAGTTTAATTGAGAGATAAGGTGAAGGTTTAGAACTAGAGAGACTATCTTCTTTAACTATCTTGATAAATTTAGTCATGCTTTGCATAAATTAGGCAAATTATCCTGAGTTCATTTTGACAAAATATTATTCTATTAAGACTAAAATATATATATGTAAGTGTGTAGTATGTGATATATAAGTGTAAGATATTAAAGAGTGATATTTGTAATAATCATGTTTGCTACTATCAAGTTGTAAGATTATTTTGTTAATAGTTGTAAATAAGATAAAATACAATATGAACCATTTTAATTTTATAGCTTATGATTATTTTTATTATTTTAAAAGTATTCAGATCTGAGAGAAAATTACAGAATAGAGAGATCTTATTTATAATGAAGAAATAAATATAAAAGTAAATAAATTAATAATAAAATCTATTTTAAAATACATATGGGCTGAATAGAATTAATTAACTTAATTTATGTCTTCAGAGGGCAACTAATCATAACCTAATAATTATAAATAATATAAATAATGATATAAATAATAATAATAAAAAACAAATAAAAATATAAAGAAAGATTAATAATAAAAGTAATTAAAAAATATTAATAATCTAATAATTGTGATACACATGGTAATCATCTGAGTAACAATATGCTAAATCTAGATGTATTAAATACATAATGATAATTTGTGTATCCAGAGTGAAATTGATCTTGAAAATGTAATACAAAGCTAATCTGTTTTACAGATAGCGCAAAATGAAGATCTAATCATTTTCTATTCTGCTATTACTGAACAATAAAGCAAGGGTATATTGTCCTTCAACATCTCCACCATCCGCCGACTTCAAGTACCACTCAAATGGATTTTTTTCATCTTCTTGTGTTCCGGTTCCATTTAGATAACGCACACCAAGATTATATTGTCCTAATATATCTCCACCCTCTGCTGATTTCAAGAATCACTCAAATACTTCTTTCTCATCTTTTTGTGTTCCGATTCCATTTAGTTAACACACACACCAAGACTATATTGTCCTAATATATCTCCACCCTCTGCTGATTTCAAGAATCACTCAAATGCTTTTTTTTCATCTTTTTGTGTTTCAGTTCCATTTAGATAACATACACCAAGATTATTTTGCCCTAATATATCTCCACCCTCTGCTGGTTTCAAGTACCACTCAAATGCTTTTTTCTCATCTTTTTCTGTTCCGATAGACATCTCCAAGAATTAAGCTGAGGAATTGTTATTATTTGATAGCTCTGCATAAATATTCAAAGCTAATGCAATATTCTTTTCAATTATAAACCCAGTTTGATAAAGAAACCCTAAAAATAGTAAAAGCGTGTTGACTGTATAAGTCGTAATGTGACTGTAATTTGGCACTATTAAATCGAAATTTTCTTCATTTCGAGAAATTTATTTAATAAGTTACTAATTCGTTAAGAATTTTGTAACATTTCTCGTCATTTGAGTTTTCCTCTTCTATATGAATTTGTTTTCCTGAATCCTTTTCATTTTCGTCTTCGGAAACGCTTATTATCGTTCCTATCTCTGTAATGCATTTATTTTCATCTTCGGAAACACTAATTTTCCGTTTCTACCTCTGCAATACTTTCATTCTCGCCTTCGAAAATATTTCCAAAGTTAAAATTCAGCGCTTCAGCAAATGAATAGTTTGGCCATTCTATTTCTTTAGGCTGTTTGTTTACTTCATAATATCCGGGCGATTAGCTGGTACATCCCAGCATGCTCGATAAAGATCCACGTATGTACGTGTACATGTATTTGGAGTTTCATAAATTCTTTTCTCCTTTTCTAGTGAAGAACAAATAATAACTATATTGGTTAACTGGGGGACGACCGCTGGAAATAACCCATAATAGCACTTTAACGCTGAAAATATCTGAATTTTCAAATTAGCCATATCTTTTAGAAATGCGGGATCTTTATAACTTATCACACTCAATCGGTTTGCGAGTGAGAGTCATCGTTTGAAGGTTTTGAATAACCTAAGTCAAAAATTTTGATTTCCCCTTAGGAACTAGTATATTATTGTGATTCTATTAATAAACGTTTTGGCAGCGTTAATTATTATAAAATCAAATTTAAGGCATACTTCCTTACTAAATCTCGATGATAATGCCCGCGTCATGTATGCACTTTACTCCTTTGACGAGTTGTTTAACCAAATTTAATTTGTCATTGCCAATCAGTTTACTGAAATTAACGTTTAAATAATCTTTAAGTGTTCCGCTATCAGCGTATTTCAAAACAATCATGTACTTTTCAGAAATCGGATCTAAATAACATTTTTTTTATTAAAGAAATCGAAGAGACTTAAAAAATGATAAATAAAATTGAGATATTTTACCTCGAGTGATTCCGTAAAATCAAATAATATTTTTATAATGATTAATTTGAACAAGAACTTTTAACTATAGAATAAGCATGTTTTCAGTAAACTTGAATTTAGATCTTTTAATCTCTTATTCTCAAACAAAATGATACCTCTTTAATAAACCGGTTCTTTGTCTTTTCATCATATGTTTTATCCATTATAAAAAGGCATTTTAGAGCAACAGTTAAATCTTCATCTTTCAACTCGGCTTTATAGGCTTCACCAACCGCACCGTTTCCGATTGCTTTTTTATTGGAAAGTTTATTAAAATTAAAAAACGTTATTTGATTTCTGATAAAACATATTCTAGTCAGTCATTTGCAGTATGCGAAGATGATATTTTTTGCGTTGAAAGTATTTCGTTATCGTTCATAAGGCTCGCTAACGTTAAATATTTGTTCGATCGTCGTCGTTTTCTTTTATATACTAGGTTTATTCTCTCAAATATGTAATAAACTTTGTGTTCATGTAATTTATTATGAGGTTTCAGATTAATTTATCTGATAGACAAACAATTTTCTTATAAAAATATTAAACGAAAAATTCGATAAATACAAGTGTTGTTGCCCTCGTTATTCATATATCTATATTATCTGTTGGTTGCATTACGGTATATACGTAAAATGGCATTGTTTTCGGGGAAAAATTCGCGGAGCACCAGATAAATATGTCTAGATTTTTATCAAATAATGTGTCAGACAATCGTTCAGATAGCTACGAAGTAAACTAAAGATAGAAAGTCGGTCACATTTTATACTGCCGTTTTTGAAGAAACATTCTCAGATTCCGTGGTAAAAACTTTATTTCATGATTTCTTGCTATATGTTTACGCTTACAAATACAAAATTCGCATAATTTAATTAGCGCTTTGTGTACAGTATATGATCAATTGATTCATATTTAGCTCGACTTAATGTTAGAAAAATCTCTGATCGTCGACTTTATGAAACAGCCCGTGACCACAAAATTAAAAAATAACATAATTAGGACGTTAGTATATAATTGGAAAAAATAAATATATCGATATGAATTTTAACATATTTGATATCCTGACAATTTAATCCGTCTTATTTTGATAGAACTAATTATTTGTTCGGAAATAAAATAAAAATTTAAGATCACAATGTAATTTCTAGCCCTAGATTAAATTAAGGGTATAATTTTTAAATCTTTACAGGAGAGGGTACTATACAGAGCGGAGCGCTTTATAAAACAAAATTCTTTTCTTTTGTTTTGTATTTTTACATTATGATGCAGGAAACTCTTACTAAGAAAGATTAATTAAATTCTAGTCTAGTTGAAAGAGTAACGAATACTTTTGCTACAAAACATATATTTAGATATTTTTCATTTAATAGAGCTTATGATCAAACTTAATTTATTTCTAGTTAAACGTTGTAAAAGTACTTATAATATTTTTGTAATTTTCATATTATTAATAGTCTTAGTATTGAAATTGTATTGATGCGTTAATAAACATAGAACATGAATATGAAAAATTATAATCAATGTATTGGTATCTGCACACCTTTCATGAACTGCATGCACGGTCTGTTTCTCTCAGAATTGTCTTACATAGCTCAATTTACTGGATGTCGATCTTGAACGCAATAGTTCTTTACTGGGACTATAAACACAACACAAACCTTCAGTCACTCACCATCGTCTTACATTCAAAGAACCCTGTTCTTGCTAATCTTTCATGCCCATACTCAAAAAACGCTGTGAAAATCGTTCTGAGCAATAACAAGATTTGCAATCCGTACAATTTCCATCACAATCACCGCTGCAACATTTAATCTGGAGAATTCACCGTTGTTGGGTTCGTTATTCTTTCTTAACTCATGTCAATATATTGAGATAAAAAATACTAGAAATCAGAAATTAGATGAGTCGGTGAAATCGCGATCAATAGTTTGACTAGTCTACCGCACGAAATCAAATAGAATTAATCACAACGAAACAAAAGTTTCAATTTCTACCATCAAATTTTATTTATGTGCATAACTTTCATATAATAAAGGAAATAAACAACAACTTAACAAATCACAAGCTCCAAAATTAATTTCACCGTTAGAATTTCCCCATTTGATTCATTTCTAAATCCATCTTCCTCCATATCTTTCACCTCCATTTTGATTATAAGCAACTTGTTTTCTCTGTCATATTTCACTCTTTCATAACTCAACACTCTAGTCCCTAGATAAGCTCTAACCTCTAAAACTGGACCATCTAAATAAAATCCAATCTCACCATATCCAACTAATTCGACCTTATAAAAAACTTTGCTATACTGATTCTTCCCTCTAGTCAATCCCATATCTGAATAATAAACTTCCTCATTTACAAATTCCGCTGAAAGCACGGCTCTGGAGCCGTTATATTTGTCGATTAGGCCAAAACATGCAACCATCATGCTGAATTCATCTTCAGGAGATTTTTGTCCATTTGCAACATCGATCGAAGAAATTTTTACAATTTCAAAAGCTGCAGGCTGCACCATTATGGCGATTTTTTGTTCAGTGTTGATTAAACACGCTTTTCGGTTCTGGAAAAAGTATATCGCGTATTTAGCTTCAGGATCTGCAGATCCAAATCCTTGACTATAAACATCCTCGAGACTAACTTGATCCATCAACACGTGATTCCTACAGTTCCACAGCCCAACTACTGCAATTTTTTTGTTGGTGTTAACTATTTTCAATAATTTATCAACTTTGGTAGCATCTTGAAATAAAGTTGAACGAGATGGTAGAGCACTTCTGCTTCTTAAAATTTTTTGTAATAATTTGGTTGATAGTTTTGTTTGATTTGGTGCTGAAAATATTGGTGTTGATATAGTTGAATTAAAAGTTGGTATGTTGATTAGACATTTTGTTAGAACTTCGATATTATGATTATTTGGAAGATCTGTGATGTACAATGGACTTCCACTGATGGCTCTGGCTGCAGCATGAAATTCACTATATTTATGATTCGTTTGAAACATGTCCCTTAAAAACAGATAAACAATTAGTGAAAGGAACTGCATTCCCAATGAAAATGAATATTTTGTAAAAAAACACTCACCAATCTGGCAAACTATACATCATGCTTGTCCAGAGATTATTCATCGTATTCGTATATATATGCCAAGCATGGGAATCTTCTTCATCTGGAAAATAATCGTTGCTATTTCTACGATTAAAATAATGAAATTCATGTAAGCAATTGCATATTAGCATTCAAATTCCAAGGAGATGTACCTGAATATCGGTCTATTCATCCCACTCAGATCTTCCGAACCTGGTCCAGATAACACCTGTTGCATAATATTAGGACTTTGCGCCATACAGTAAATTATCCTGTTTTCAAAATATTTTCTACAACTTTTTTTCAACGCAGCCTGATATTCTTGCCACCATTGTCGATGTTTAATTTCTTCATAACAAATTAAATCAAAGCTTCCTTGTGAATCTACTTTTACCAAACTAACTCCTTGATTTCTTAAATAATTGTAAAAATCATTATAAAATTTTTGAATATCTTGTGCCTCAATAAGGTAAAGTGGTTGGCCATCATTCTTTTTTACTTTTTCTATTTTGTAGATGGAGGATAATTCAGAAGAAGGATCGATCCCACACCAATAACCCCAAAGAGTGTGCCTAAAAGTTAAATGGTCGAATATTAACTAAATAATAAGTTGTTGAAAAACATCCATTAAATTAACATGGATATATTATTCCTACCAAACCCCAAAATGCTCTAAATATGGGAATTTTGCTTTAACATCACTTATCAACCCTTTTAATCCTTCGGGAAACTTTTCAGAATCAGGCTTAAAACTTTTTAGCTGTTCAAGTTGATTAACTTGTTGCCATCCATCATCTAATATAACATATCCAACATGTATGCCAACATGTTCTAATGATTGCAATGCATCCTTTATGTCTTGACTACGTATGTTTCTATAAAATCTAAGTTCGTACAAATTATATAGTAGTCAATTAATATTTTGTACAGAATCAAATTGAGTAACATATATTTTCTAGACTCACGCATTCCAAGTGCAATAGCCAAGATAATCATAGTAAAATTGCTCCTCCTTTATATGATCTTTGTTTTCTCCAGATTTGCCAAGAGTTCCAAGAATGATTTTTATCAGTTCCTTACATGCATGGGAAACAATATACGGATCTTGTCCAAAACCTATAATAAATTTTGCAGTGGCACCACTCTCGCTATTATTTATGGTAATCAATCGCAAATTTCCATCTTTATCAGTACGAAAACTACTTATGCATCCATCAGATGCCAAAGGAATCAGGACAACATAATGACTTGTTGATTGTTGAATTAGTATGTAATAAGCATCCATGTCTTGTAGATCTAGTTTACCAGTGCCTGTTGTTGGTGCAATCCACCATGCGCTGAGAAAACAAAAAGAAGCATAAATTTTCTTTCGCAAATATGCATCAGACAAGAACATATAATACATACGAAAGACGTCGTAATGCAATGAATTGAACTACATTCTGTAAATTCCCAAAATTGACACTGGTCGGTTGTCCATTATTAAATTTAGCATCACTTGACACGCACCAACAATCAATATTGTCTTGCAACTTGTAATCAATATTTTGATCCTCAATATTTTGACCAAAAATAGAATTTATCAGCTTGCTCCCGTGTTCAACTTTATGATCTATATTGGCCACGAATAATTTACCATTCTGATTTATGTTTTTGCTGACCCATTGCCATTCATCATCTCCTTCTTTTTTGAATCTTGCAGTGAATTCATACCATCCTTCATTAATATGATTAGTAAAAACCACAGCTTCAAATGTTCGATAGCTTATTTTATCATCACACCCAATTATTTTTGATGTTTGGCCATCATTTAATTCTTTAAACTCGATGCTAATCCAATGTGAAGAATGTGCAGTTGTTAAATTTGTCCATAGCTGAACAGTTAACTTATTTCGACGCACACCAATATCATTATCAATGATCCAGATTGTAACAATTACGGGCTTTGGCCGATAAATGAATGTTGTTGTAGAAGTAGATTCACAAGGAAGCTTTGATTTAATTTGTTATGAAGAAATTAAACATCGACAATGGTGGCAAGAATATCAG